TAACAACAAGAAGCAACATATCAACAACTTGAAACTTGGCTTTGATACCAAAGGAGCGGAAGAATGTGATTTAAAAATCTTGCTAATAAGCAAATTTTTGCCCGTTGACAATCCATTTTAGTATTTTTTATTTTGATATTGAATATATCTGGTAGTCAAAATTCTATTCCTGATTTTCTTACTCGAGAATTTTTACAAGGGGGGTAGGGATGGCCACTCCTTTTATCTCTTACCATAAGTCACAAGTTTCCCATTATAAACATCTTATTCACCAAACTGCTTACAGAATTGCTTGCCTCAAATTAGCCAAAAAGACTACTTCCCGAGCTCACTATTTCAACTGTTTGGATTATTACCAAAACTATTTAGATCTCCTTAGTGGATGCTAAATTCAGTTCTTTTGTTCTACAAATGTCTGGTCAGAAACCTTTGAGACCTTCCGGTAAGGCTCTTTTTCCTTCTAGTCAACCAGTTCCTCCTCCTTTGAAATTAGTCACTAGATACCATCCTGTTGAATTAGTCAACCGTTATCAAATTCTTGGTAACATCCCTAGACCTAATTATTCATCTGCACTTGCTACTGACCCATTAGCTCCTTCACGACGAAAATCTAGTAAAAACAAAAATAAAAAATCTTCCTACAAATATTCCAATAAAGGAAAAAAGAAATATTACCCATCTAAATCAACAGATAAATATTATACTAATCCCAAAAAGAAATATTCCAAGAAATCCAAAAAAGGGTCAAAACCTACTCAAGATGTTACCTGTTACAATTGTAGTAAAAAGGGTCATTATTCTAATAAATGTAAAGTTAAAGAAAAACTTAGAACTAAACTCAACCAATTACAAATTACTAGAGAGAACCAACAACAAATATTTGAAATATTCAAATTAAATGTTTCTCCAAAACAGTCCCCAGATCACTCTAGTCACTCATCTGATACTGATATTACCTCTAGTAACACTTCCACTTGTTATTCTCCTACTGATAGTACAGATAATGAAATTAAACTAGACTGTAATGATACTTGTTGTAAAATAATTAATTTTCTTAGTAAATCCCAACAAGAAGAATCTGCTCTTATTGAGCTAATTGCTAAATTAGAAAATCTTGACTTAAAAAGACAATATACTAATAAGTTAAAATCCTTATTAACCAATAAAGATAAAAAGCCTAAACATGATAAACTAATCATTAGTCTAAATAAAACTTTAGATCGATTTAAAAAAGAAAAACATAAAGAAATTACTCTACAAGACTTACGAAATTAAATTAATCAAATTAAATCAACTATTCAAGAATTAAAAAATAAGGACAAATCTTTAGAAGAAGAAATTTCCATATTAAAAATTAACAAAAGTCTCAATGATTTTCAACAATCTAATAAATTTTCTCACGAATTAGAAGAAGGATCTGGATCTGAACCTGATCTTGATAGAGTCATTTTTTATAATCGTACTACTACACATAACAGTGATCAAGATAGTAAACGCCTTAATATAATTCATAGAATTAATATACAAAAATGGCATTCAAAAATCAAATTAGTTATCAATGATTTTGAAACAGAAGTTATTGCATTAATAGATACTGGTGCTGATTTAAATTGTATTCAAGAAGGATTAATCCCAACCAAATATTATCATAAATCTACCGAACAATTAAGTTCTGCTAATGGAAGTCAAATGCATATCAAATATAAATTACCAAAAGTACATATTTGCCAAGATAATGTTTGTTTTAAAACATCTTTTGTTCTAGTTAGAAATTTAACTAATAAAGTTATTTTAGGAATACCGTTTATTTTCCTATTATATCCTTTTACTACAACTAATCATGGTATAACCACACAAGTTTTTGGTCACACAGTTATTTTTAAATTTTTGTCCCCTCCCGAGGTCAAGGAATTAAATCAATTAAAAGATTGTTCCATTTCTCAATCTATTAATCGATTAACTAAACAACTTAAATTTCTTAAAGAAGAAATTAAGTATAAAAGAATTGAAACTCAATTAACTGATCCTCTTTTAATATCCAAAATTGATAATTTTAAAAGTCAATTAGAAAATACTGTCTGCTCTACTTTACCTAGTGCTTTTTGGCATAGGAAGAAATATGTAGTAACACTCCCATGTATTAAAAACTTTCATGAAAGACAAATCCCTACCAAATCTCGACCTATTCAAACGAATCATGAATTAATCAAAATGTGCAAAAAAGAAATTAATGAACTATTAAAGAATAAAATTATCAGCCATATTAAGTCACCCTGGTCTTGTCCTGCTTTTTATGTCAATAAAAATGCTGAACTTGAACGAGGTGTTCCTCGATTAGTTATTAATTATAAACCATTGAATAAAGTTTTAGAATGGATTAGGTATCCCATCCCTAATAAAAAAGATCTAATTAAAAGACTTAGTCAAACCGTCATTTTTAGTAAATTTGATTTAAAAAGTAGTTTTTGGCAAATTCAAATTCATCCTAATGATCGTTATAAAACTGCTTTCACTACTCCTTTTGGTCATTATGAATGGAATGTCATGCCCTTTGGTTTAAAAAATACTCCCAGTGAATTTCAAAATATTATAAATGAAATTTTTAATCCCTTTAGTCATTTTTCCATTATCTACATAGATGATATCCTTATTTTTTCTAAGTCAATCGATGAACATTGAAAACATCTTAATTCCTTTTTCCATGTTATTAAATATAATGGTCTAGTCATTTCTGCTCCCAAAATTAAACTTTTCCAAACTAAAATTCGATTCTTAGGATATGATATTCACCAAGGCACTATTCTTCCCATTAGCAGCTCTATTGAATTTGCTTCCAAATCTCTTGATGAAATCCTTGATAAACATTAGTTACAACGATTTTTAGGTTCATCAAACTATATTGCTGAATTTTATAAAGACCTTCGGAAAATTTGTCAATCCCTTTTTGATAGGTTAAAAGACAATCCTCCTCCTTGGTCTCCTATTCATACTTCTATTGTTCAACAAGTCAAAAAATATGTCAAGACTTTGCCTTATCTTGGTATTCCCACTGAAGATTGCTGAAAATTCTTTCAAAATTATTCAAACTGATGCTTCTGATATTGGTTATGGTGGTATTCTGCTTCAGAAACTCACGCCTCAGTCATCTGAACAAATTGTTCGTTTCCATTATGATATCTGGAATAAAGTACAGAAAAATTATAGGACTATTAAACAAGAAATTTTATCTACTGTTTTATGTATTAGTAAATTTCAAGATGATATATTAATTCAAAATTTTTTACTTCGTGTTGATTGTAAATCTGCTAAATGATTAATTTCACTATCACTAGAAGTATCAGAATTATTAGGGAATTCTAACTATTTATTTTATAAAATAAAATCCGATTTGTTCTAGATTTATAGTTGTTTGATAAAATTAATTTTTCGTATGAATGACTTTTATTACGGAATCTACGAGGCAAACAATTTAGATCATTTGTACGGATCCGAAAAGAGTATAGAGAGATATGTAGAGATGAGGGATGAACGGCAGTTTATTATGATTGTAGAGGGAAATTCGAGAAAAGATCATTTTGTCCGTCAAACTTTCACATATTTGTCAATTTGACCTCCAGACTTTGATTAATATATTTTACATCCAAAATTTTAAAATTTTGATCAATTTGGCCGCTGTCATCATATTCATCTATAATTGGATGGAATGTGCTGACATGGTACTAAAATTCATTTAGAATTTCATTTTACCCCCAAATCATACCTTAAAAATCAATTTACCCCCCAAATATAAAAAAATAAATTTAAATATTTAATAAATAATTTTTTTTATCTTAATAAAGAAAAAATTAAATTTTAAATAATATATACTTTGCAAAAAATATATATATATAAACCCTCATTTAGAATTATCTTGAGATTATGAAGCATGAGTACATTGGCAAACATGCCGTACCCCTACGGAATACTTATCAAATTTTGAAAATTTCTTCCCACTCAAATTTGAAATTACTATTAGTCAATCAATTTTATTGAAATTATTTTTGGTAATAAATTTAGTTACAATTGCGCACGCACACACATATAGAGTCGTTAAGAAATTTTTAGCTCAAAAAGTTTCTCCATAATCAACTCGAAATAATTTGAGACCTATGAAGCACAGGTATGGGCATACGTACTAGTATTTGTACAATATGGGCACGTCAACACAGTAAAATTAAAATAAAAAAGTAAGTTATGAGTATGGCTTAATATGGTTGTTAAAAAATATTTGTTTTTAATTTAGAATAATTGTTTTTAATAATATTTGTTTTTAATTTGTTAAATTCAACGTATAATTGACATTTAATGCCAAAAGTACAGGTATAAGATAAACCAAAATTAAATATCATTATATTAAATAATATACAAACATAGTTTAATTTTAAAATCATACTAAGCACAAAACTAAAAATGAAAGAAGTCTAGTAAAAAGAATTTTATCTTTGTAGTAAAAGAAAATATTATTTCAATTGAGATACGGCATGATTTGGGTATATACTAGATATGTTTAGATACGTCAAAAATTAAGAAAGAAAAATTTGATACGCGTTTTGTGCACCCAGTATATTTAGTATGGGTACGACATGTTTGTCGAAATATTCATACTTCATAATCTCAAGATAATTCTAAATGAGGATTTTTATATTTTTTTGCGAAGTGTATATTATTTAAAATTTAATTTTTTATATTTGGAGAGCAAATTAATTTTTAAGATATAATGTGGGCGATAAAATGAAATTTTAAATAAATTTTGATATCACGTCAGTATATTTCGTCTAATTATAAACGAAATGTGATGATAAGAGTCAAATTTACCAAAATTTTAAAAATTTAGATGTAAAATTAATATTAATTTAAATCTGAAAGTTAAATTAAAAAATGCGTCAAATTAAAGATTTATTTGTTTTTTCTTCGGTTTTGGTGGTTTCTGATGCTGTCTTTTGTTTTTTCTTCTGTTTTTTCCTTTTGTTGGTTTCTCACCAACCAGAGCTTTGAGTTTCATCTAGCTTTGAGCTCCTCTTCTCCATCTTTTCTGTTTGATTTCATCATTAAAGATTTATTTTGCCGATAAAAAAAAAAATTTTAAAAATGCGTCAAATTTTGGGATAAAATGATATTTCGTCGGGCAATTCGCATATGCATCTGTTTTGTTAGTTAATTTTGCCATGGAAGAGAGCAAAGCGACAACAACCAAAGACAACAACATTCCATTGATAGACCTGTCTCTGCTAAACTCTCCAAACAACTTTTCTTCAGCCGACTCCATTGCAAGCCTAGCAGCCGAGATAACCGAAGCCTGTGAGACCTGGGGTTGCTTCCAAGTCATCAACCACGGCGTGCCGGTCGAGCAGAGCCGAGCAATCGAGTCGGCGTCGAGGCAGTTCTTTGATCAGCCGAAAGAAGAGAAGAAGAAAGTGTGGAGGTACGAGAGGAATCCATTGGGGTACCATGATTCGGAGATTACGATGAATGTGAGGGACTGGAAAGAGGTGTTTGATTTCACAGTCCAAAATCCCACTCTCTTTCCAGCTTCCCCTGATCCCCATGACTTGGAACTGAGGGAGTTGGTTAATCAGTGGCCCCAATTTCCTCCTCAATTTAGGTAAAATTATCAATTTTAGGCTTAGTAAATATTTTGGCATTATCAATTTGGTTCTTATAATTTTACCTTTAATTTTTTGATTTTGTTTTAAAAATTAATTCAAGGGTTTATATATATTTATTTTTTTGGGGGAACAAATTCAAGGGTTTATTTATAAGTATGTTTCTATGTGATATGAAATTAGGTCCAATTATTATTTTTTTTTTTAAAGATAATGATATGATTAACAAAATTGTTATAAATTATTGTTTTGAAATATTTTTAATTTTTTTTTTTTTTTTTACTTCACTACCGTTAGATGGCGTTGGACCACCACTGAACTGCTGCCAAATCACCACCGGAAAAGTTGTTGGTGCCAGAAAAGTTACCAAAAAAATAATTGGAAAAGTCGCCACAAAGTCATCGCCACCACTGGCAGCTTTTGATGGTGGTAGTGATATGGACAAGTAAAAACAGATAGGTGACATGTAAATAAATATGAGATGACATGTCGACATATAGGTGGAAAGATGAATAATATGTAGATAGATAGGTGTGAACAGTTGATAGATAACCATGTAGGGTTAATATAATCTTTTAAATTGACTTTGATCCAAGTCCCTTTAATTCAATAAGATGTTAATGGTTTTGAAGAACCATGCAGGGATAATATAATCTTTTAAATTGACTTTGGATCCAAGTCCCTTTAATTCAATAAGGTGTTAATGGTTTTGAAGAAGCCACGTTATAGGGAAGTAAATGGTCCATTAAGGTTTTTGGACCATTTATCTAAGATGTAAGTCTTGCTATTTCATAATTGAATTTGAATCATTTATCAATTTTTTGGGTAAATTTTAGATCAGAAATAAGCTTGGCCTCATTTACCTTCTTTTGTAATTTTCCATATATGTTACGCTGCTATATATTGCTTCAACTTGCAGGGAGGTATGTGAGGAATATGCTAAAGAAATCGAAAAGCTGGGTTACCAATTGTTGGAACTCTTGTCTCTAAGCTTAGGATTGCCAAGACGAAGGTTGAATCACTTCTTCAAAGACCAAACCAGCATTGTTAGGTTCAACCACTACCCACCTTGCCCTAACCACCCTGGTCAAGTTCTTGGTGTTGGCCAGCACACTGATTCCGGAGCCTTATCCATCTTGGCTCAAGATGATGTTGGAGGATTGCAAGTGAAGCGAAAATGGGATGGAAAGTGGGTTCCTGTCAAACCCAACCCTCATGCCTATTTAGTTATCATTTGCGACATTTTTCAGGTAACCAAACTAAACCGCCAAAACATACTTAAATCAATTTTTTTTTTTTAAATTATTTTATTTTTATAGATGCTATATTTGAGATGGCACCAAAAATTAAGAATAAGGGAAAATTATATTAGTAGTCCTGCATTTTTTTTTTTTTTTTGTATCATTTTAGTTTCTGTCATTTCAATTAGTTTAATTTTGACTCTTAATTTTAGATTTTATGTCAATTTTAGTCCAATTGATAACGCCGATTAAGATTTTTGAAAGAAAATAATCACTGAGTTGATTGAGATTAGCTCACTAAATTGAATAAGTTTACAATTTTATCTATAAAAAAGCATAACACATGTCGTTTATGTCCGCATTTTTTTTATTTTATTTGTGAAAAAACACTAAAATTTATAATCAATTGGATCAAATTGAAACAAAATTATATATTTAAAGTTAAAATTAAAATTAAGTCAATCAAAATTATAAAAATCAAATTGATATAAATGCCAAAATATAAAGACTATCACTTTAATTTGTCCTACAAATAATTTTATAGATACTAACACTCTTACTTTAAAATCTTATTAAAAGTACAATAGACGAAATATGATATGACTGTAAAAAAAAAAGTGACTATGCTTGGACAGTCAATAATATTTGGACACATATGAGTTGCTCTTTTCTATTAGAAATTACCTCTTAAAATATGTATTGAAGGGTGTATATATAGAGTCAAGATCCCCTCCTTAACTTTCTTTCTTGACTTTTTACTTGCAGGATTATTGAGTCTACTTTTAGGTATAATTTTTATAATCCGAACCGTTTATATTTTAAGATTTGTTGATTATATCATACCTGTAAAAAATCAAATTGATCTGATATAAAAAAGTATGTGTTCGGATCATCGAATTAAAAGCTATTTTTTAAAAAATTTAATAAATAGTTTTTTAAACACATACTTTTTGATATCCGATCAATTTGATTTTTTACAAGTGTAATATACTTAACAAATTTTAAAATGTGAACGGTTCGGATTATCGAAATTAGGCCTAAAAGTGGGCCCAATTACCCAGCAAGTAGAAAGTCAAGGAGGGTAGGCAAGGAGGGGATCCTGATTCGTATGTATAAAATCAGGATCCTCTCCTTAAGTTGTCTCCTTCATTCCCTACTTGCATAGTTATTAGGTTCACTTTTGGGCGTAATTTCGATGATCTGAACCGTTCACATTTTAAGATTTATTAAGTATATCATATTTGTAAAAAATTAAGTTGATCGGATATCAGAAACTATATGTTTGAAATATCAAACTAAAAACTATTTTTTAAAAAATTTTAATAAACAGTTTTCCAAACACATACTTTTTGATATCCTATCAATTTAATTTTTTACAGGTATAATATACTTAATAAATCTTAAAATATAAATGATTCAGACATTGAAATTGGGCCAAAAAATAGGCCTAATAACCTTACAAGTAAGAAGTGAAGGAGACAATTTAAGGTGAGGATCTTGATTCGTTTTATATGGTTAGCCCAACGTATGTTCATTTCATGTCTAAAAAAAAAGAATGTTTTGTACAGGTTTGGAGCAATGACAAGTACGAGAGTGTGGTGCACAGGGCAACGGTGAACTCTGAAAAGGAAAGGATTTCGATTGTGTTCTTCTCCTACCCAGCACATTACACCATGGTTGAGCCTCTGGAGGAGCTAATAAACGATCGAAACCCTCCCAAATACAGACCATACAACTGGGGAAAGTTTTCTGCTGCCCGAAGGCGTAGTAATTTCACAAAGAACAATGTTGGAAGGATCCAAATCGATCATTTTAAGGTTATTTGAGTGATCAATCAATCAAGTTTGAAGGAGTTTATGTTCTTGTATCCCAATAATTTAAGTTTCTTTTGTAATGAAAATGCAAGTGATCGGAGTCAAAATGCCTAAGTTACATAGCTGCTACTTAAAAACTGTAGTTGTTTGATGTATAAATATGCATATTGTGCTCTTTATCTGATGCTATCAGTGTTAAAAGTAGTTTAGTTTGGCAATCCCATACACAGAACAGTTTGGGTAAATTACATCCGTAGTTTTTATATTTTAGTACTGGTGTCATTTACATCCTGTAATTTTAATTGGTTTGATTTTAATTCTGAATTTTTTATTATCTTAATTTGGTCTAATTTATTACAATTGTTAGCATTATTTTATAAAAAATATGTAAATGAGTGATATGTGTCATACTTTTAGAGACAAAAATTATAAATTTGATTAATTTGGTGTGTTAATCTCTCTCAACCAACTTAATAATCATTTTTCGTAAAAAAATCTTATTGACTTTGTCAAGTGGACCAAATTGACACAAAATATAAAATTAAAAGTTAAAATTGAGTTAATTAAAAGTGTAGAGATTAAAATGACACAAAAGTTAAAATGTAAGAAATACTGGTGTAATTTGCTTAAACAAATTTGAGTTGTAATAGAAGCTTGAGTAGTAGACACCAATTAATGTTGTGTTTGGTTGAGGGATTTGGGAAGAGATTTAGAAAGGGAAAAAGAAAAGATATGTGAAACTAGGTGAAATATTTCACCTTTCACATACCTTTTCTCTTTCCCTTTCCAAATCCCTGCTCAAAACTTCTAACCAAACATATCGTAAGGGTTTAGGGTTTAAAGTGGACTCTGAAAACGCTTACACCTGCCATGTATAGGGAACATTTTAAAGTTATTTTTTGAACTTTTAAAAAAGTATTTATTCCCAAAAGACGAAGATATGAGAACACTGATATTTTGTTTGACTTTGTTCTGTAGTTATGATCAAATACAACCCAATAAATGGAGTGGAAGACTCCAGTGTTGGAGTAGATGAAATAGAGAAGCTCCAATAAGAATAGCATACTTACCTGAAAGTTCAGATGGTGTGACCAACTCTGAGGTTAAATCAATTGATGGGTGTGCTAATCCTTACTTGGTCATGGCTTCTATTACTGCTGCTGGAATTGATGGCCTTCGAAGAAATCTTATTCTGCCTGAACCCTGGGGTAAGATGATAATTTTTTCTTTTGAATAGAATTATGATTATTATTGATGATACTAAATGAGTTGTGAAAACCTTTTTTGCACTATTATTTTCAAGTTTTTATAATGATCTTGAATTAACTATTAGATTCACAGTTAATATTTCTACATTTCAAGTTAACTAGTGAATCAACTGAAATATATCTTTTTTTACAGATGAAGTCAATATAAGTATGTTACTAATCTTTCAAAGTAGGACGTAGGACAAGAATGCCTGATGATATAGCCCTGCAAAATCTATTGTTTCTCCATGACTGATCTAGAAGTCAGTGCGCACACTATGCATTCTTTATTAAAAGAAAAAACAACCATATAAACTTTACTAGAGAATATTGTACCTTCATGAGTGAAATAGAAGAGAGGGAACACACAATGGATCTTTGACAAAACATGAAAAGTAGTAATCAATCTAAAACTTTTGGTATAATTATTTCACATATAATTAGACCAAAGAATGAGAAAGGAAAAAAATAGTTGAGAATTGATACATTTATACAGCGAAAAATGACCTCTAATTCATAACTTCTCATTTTTGCAGTCATATGTTATTCTTCTATACCAAACTAATTTTTCCCAAGTTCATTTTCTATTTTGGAAATTTAATCTAGTTCTGTTTATGGCCTAATTAAGTTGATTTCTGCATTTGGATTTGTATAGCTCTAGAGAGTCTTATCTAATTCTATTCAAGCTAGATTTTTCAGTCTAGGAGGACAGCAGAGAATGAAGAAATGTTTGTGTGTGTATGAGAGAGAGAGAGAGAGTTATTATTATTTCCTCATTTCACATATTCTAGGAGATGCAATCATTCATGTATATATTCTCATTTGCTTATTTTTTTGTCCTCTTAATAGCATCCAATGTTGATCTTGAAGAAAGTTATATGGTGCTTGTTTGTGCTGTTCATGCTAGTAGAAAATGTTCTACCACAGAGTGATGCAGAAATGTTATTTAATTATGAAACAGAGAACCTTGGTACAGAGCTTCAAAGATTGCCAGCAACACTTATTGAATCTGTAGAAGCTCTTCAAAAAGACAATCTCTTGGGAAATCTAGTTAGTGAAATCTTTCAGAAGCTGAAATACAAGTTTGGAAGGTATGTTCCATCTATGTTTTTGGAATTTTTTCTTCTTTAGAATGTTAAGACTTTTTTTGAAGGATTCAAGCCTTTCTGGTTTTGAACAATGTGACTTATCATTGGACTCTGAAGCCTAAAATCTTTTACAGTAACACATATGGATGAAATTGGTACAAGTGATAGTGATTTATTAGATTATGTAAAATAAATTGATGTATATTATTGATTGATATAATGTTATATTTATTACAATGATTCATGATTCCTATATATAGAAGAGGGTGAGTGTGTAGTAGGTAAGGAGTAGGTGAAGTGGAGGTGGTAGTGGTGTAGTGGGTTAGGTTTAGTGGAGTAGGTGAGGTGGTAGTGGTGTAGTGGGTTAGGTTTAGTGGAGTAGGTTTAAGTGGGTGAAGTAGGTGATAGGTTTTAACAGATTATAATTTCATGCAGAGACCATAATTTCTTTAGATAATGAAAGGACATTTAGCAGTCTTTTAAATGTTAACACTATCACTCTTCATGTTTTCTAAATGTTTAGTCCCATTTGGATCAGTCTTTAGTATCTAAATGTTACTCATTTAACAGTTTTTCAAAATAATTTTTTCACCTTTCGTTTAGTAACACCCTCAAATCTTCCCATTTTATATCATTAACCTGATTAAAATCTCTTGTTTTTCTCTCTCAATTTAGCAAGTTCGTAAATTTTCTTTTATCCACTGAGCATCTCTAACTGTCTTTAACCTCCTTATTAACCCACTTGTATCTGATAAATTTTATCATTTTTTAAAATCATTTTTCCACTTTTTAATGCATTCATTTTTTTTATTTTTTATTTTACTTCGGCTTGTATCTCGTCATTCCATCATTAAGTTTCTTTACATATTAGATTTTTTTCCTTCAATTCTCCTATGACTTCTGTCAATATTCTTTTAATGCATTTCCAGAAATTCAAATGCAAAAAAGGATGATGAGCGTAGTTTACATTTTTTTATTTTTTATTTTTTTGCAGGCGGAGATTGATTACCATTCCCAGAATAAGGATGCATACAAGCAGCAATCTTATCGTACCGTCCTGCTAAATTGGTGAACTTCTACTACCAGTAAATTTTTATGTTTAGATCGATTTTAAAACCATCACTGCTGTCCATTGTACTTGCTATATTTATCCAACATTTCTTTGCAATGAATGTGACTTATTTTCTCCCTCTTGCAGTAATTCCTTATGAGCATGTTGTTATAATGCTTTTTTTTTTTTTTTTCTCCTCTTTGCGATGAATGTTTCTATCCAGTCCAGAAGTTAATTATAGAAAGTCAATTTTGGAAATTCATATTAGACCATTTCCTAGAACCTTGGTGCCACAAGACGTCTGATATAAAAAAACGAAGTAGCAGGGGTTGTGACTGAACTCAATAATCTTCAACTAAAGGTGTGGAAGCATAGCTCAAATTTCCATAATGCTTTTAATTTTTGAGAAATTATAAATTTATAATTTATAAATATTATGAGAACTAGATTAAATTAGAGTCAGAGGGAGTTTCTCCCACAGCCAGACCAGTATTCTTCCACAAGCCTTGAAAAGGCAGAGTCGTTCTACATATGCTTTGAAGGCACGTCATACTCCGCCACCTCCCATGGAAAACGTAAAACCACCAGTTCAAAACGCATCGGTTGTGTGCACGCATGTGCAGTGAAGAAGAGTGGCATACCATAAGAGAGACCATGACCATGTCACTATCTGTGACTGTGGGAACTCTGTGAGCCACAGTTATCACTGTACAGCTCAAGAACTCGTGCCAGTGTCAATCGAAGCAGTTGCTTCATCTGGAACTAGAATTCTGTTTCTTTTAAGTAGGACTCTTCCAAGACACAAAAGTTGGCGCTGCCCGACACTCCAATTTTCGCCTCTGTCACTCACTGTTGAAACCAGAAAACTGGGAAGGATGATATGTCAATAACTTTGACCAAATAAAATGCTTGTCTTTATCATCTTTTTAAATTCAGCTAACCAGATGAATCCAAAATGGTTTGGAAGGCTGCTCAACCAAACTCAGGAAAACGTTTTTTACAAAAAATATTTTTCTGGAAAAAAAATTCCATAAAAAGCAATTTTCAAAAGATGATGTTTATCAAAACAAATGGAGGATAAAGTTTCTAGGAAGCTGCATGTGCTTCATTTTGCTACTTGTGTTTGACTTTGCTGAACGTGGGGATAGAATTTTATCAGAACTCATTGTACTGACTTTGGGTGAAACGTTTATTAAATCAAAACAAACTAAATATTTTGTCCCACTCAAATGCAGTCGGTTACATAAATCCTTTTTTTGCAATTCTTGTTACTGTTAACATAGGATTTTTTGCAAGACAGCTACATCCTATTGCTTTCATTTTTTTTCAAGGCAGCTACTTTATTTATTTTTTTGTTTTTGTGGGTTGTTACACTAATCCAAATTATCTTTAATCAATCCCTTTCATGAGAGAAAACTATGAGAATATATTGTGTATATTCTAAATTAGGTATGATTGTGGTTGTACATATTAGAGGCATGATTGTATTTTCCTATTAGAGGTGTGATTGTAGTGTTTGTATTTTCTTTTTTGGTTTAGGAGTTAGGGCTATATATTCTAAGGTCTGATTGTAATCCTATACACAATTGAATATATATAAAACTTACATGGTATCAGAGCCACTCTGAAGTGAAACCCTAGAAGCTGTCTCTGAGTTGATCACAATTGTCTCTCAGAAATCAGCCCTACGGTTTTATCTCTCTAAGTCGCAGGTCATGACTCCCTCTTCTTCTTCTATGTTCGTCTGGTTCGAACGAAGGTCCCTAGTTGTCCTTCGTCCGGTCGTCTGGTTCGTCTCTTTGGTTCTCTGCCTCGCGACCTATTCGCGAAAAACCTAGCCTTTGGTTCGTGATCTTTCTGGTTCGTGATCTGTCACTGGACTCGTGAAGTTGAGTCGTTGTCATCGCTGGTTCTCTCTTGCTTTGATTTGCACAATCGAAGAGCTGTCTGCCCTTGTTCCTCTCGATCGACTTCGACTTCGACTTCGACCTTTTGCTTTGTGCTGACTGCTCTAGAGTCGACTTTGACTCTTCTCTCTCTCTGTGTGGTTCGAAGTTGACCCACTGTGACATCTTACTTAGTCGTGACCTGATTTTGAAATTATCTAGTTCTCTTTTATTCTTGTTTGGACCAAACAAGTTCCTGATTATTACAGTTTGACCCCTCAAATTTTGAGTATTACACTTGAACCCCTGGTTTGGCTATTTTGTTTGATTATACTTGAACCCCTCAGTTTTTTGGTTACTATGATGTCTTTGGCTTCTGATGAGTGTGCTTTCTGCCATCAGAAAGGCCATTAGAAGTATCATTGTCCCAAGAAGGGATGTTTGTCGGCTTCGTCTATGTCTGCCTGGTCTTCTCAGCAGTTTCTGATCAAGTTTTGCACTCCTCCTCTGAGTACCGTTCGGTCTCCCACTAGTTCTACTGCATTTACTCCGGCTTCTGATCCTGACTTAGCTTCCTTAACTGCTCAGATTAGTCAGTTTCAGCATACACTGATTAGTCAGCTTCAACATATATTGTCTACTTCCCAACCATCCCCGTCTGCCTCCGTTGTTTCCTCTCTTCATTCAGGTTTGCTTGGATCTTCTTCAAGTATTTCTTTGTGTGTCTGGATTTTTGATTCCGATGCCTCTTATCATATGACTCCCCATCTCTCCTTACTTCAAAATTGTACTCCTCCTCCCTTTCTTATTACTGTCAATGTTGTTAATGGATCTGGTATGTCTGTTATATCTATTGGATCTGTCCTACCATCTGCTATGTTTGTTGTCTCTATTTTATCTGTCCTATATGTGCCTCAGTTATCTGTCAGTTTGTCATCTATCTATTAGCTTGATGTCTCTGGTTTTGATGTTATCTTTTCTTCTTCTATCTGTTCTGTGCATGATCGAATGTCTAAGCAGCAAATTGGGACTAGTCGTAGAGTTGGAGACCTCTATGTGGTGGAGAGCTTGCATCTGCCTATGGCAACCTCTCTGACTGCCTTTTCCTATTTTCAGTTAGATTCTCTGTCTAGTCCTTTCTACTTGTAGCATTCTAGATTAGAGTATTTGTCTGCTGATCACTTACGGTCTTTAGCTCAGTCTGGTATATTGGGTAAAGTTTTTCTTAGTGAACTTATTGAATGTCGAGGGTGTAAACTTGCCAAAATGACAACCTTACATTTTCATAAAAGTACTTCTATATCTGATATACTATTTTCTTTAGTTCATACTGATGTTTGGGGCCCTTCTCCTGTTCTTGCCAAAGGGAGTTCTGCATACTATGTGTCATTTGTTGATGACTGCACCCGTTACACTTGGGTTTATCTTATGACTCATAAGTCTGATTTCCACCAGATATACCGTACTTTCCAGTCTATGGTCACTACACAGTTTTGGTCTATTATTAAATTGTTGTGGTCTGACTTAGGCAGGGAATACTTTAAAACCGAATTCTGTGAATATGAGGCCAAATTAGGTACCTGCCCAAAATGGTCGAGCTGAGCGTAAACACCGTCATCTCCTTGAGACAGTTAGGTCTCTCCTTTTCTCTGCCTCCGTTTCGGCTCCGCTTTGGGGTGTGGCAGTTCTTACTACTGCTTTTCGTTTCAACTGTATGCCTATGCCCCTTCTTTCTGGTCAGTCTCCTTATGAGGCTCTGTTTTCTCAACTTCCTAATTATTCCCTCATTCGTGTGTTTGGGTCTGCTTGTTTTGCCCTTTTACCCCATAAAGATAGGACCAAACTTAGTGCTCGGTGTGTCCTATGTGTCTTTTTGGGTTATAGTCTCACTCAGAAAAGTTATCACTGTTATGACCCCGTTTCCCATCGCCTTTATGCCTCCTGCTATGTGGCTTTTTCGAA